CCCTTGGTAACCATCGTAAGGTATTCCGGTTGATACGGAAAATGGGCAGCAGACGACCTGTTGTTAGTGAAACAATTTGTGACGAGAGTGGACAGCCTATCCACAACTTGTCAAAACGCTTGGAGCGTTGGGCTGAGCACTTTGAAAGGCAATTTAATCGGTTGCAATTGTTAGATTTCTCACCGGCCACTGGTCGCCCCGCTCCGTGGGCTGTCCCTTTGGATTCACCCTCTCGCTCAGAAGTCGAACGTGATATCGCACTGTTGAAGTTAAATAAAACTGCGGGACCAGATGGCCCATCTCCAGCCCTCTTCAAATTCGGGGGACTTGCTCTTGTGGATGATTTATACAAGTTACTAGTGAAACTATGGGAGCAGGAAACTGTCCCAACCGACTGAATCCGCTCCGTCATAGTCTTAATTTTCAGTGGAGGCTCACGCTCGGAATGCGGCGACCACAGAGGAATCAGTCTGGTCTCCATCACCTCCAAATTGCTTGCCTGTCATCCTTCACAGACTGACTGCCACTTGTGAAAGCCATAATCGTGAAGAGCAAGCCGGGTTTCGTCGAGATCTTCGCTACATTGACAACATCTTCACTTTGCGTCAGTCCTTGGAGCACATTACATATATTGGCGGCCCACCGTTGTCGTGTTCGTCCATAACAAAGGTGCCTTCGATTCGGTGGATAGACATGCACTTTGGGACTGTCTACTCTGGAAAGGTGTACCTGAGAAATATGTAAATATTATCCGATCATTAAACACGCATAGCTCAAGCAGAGCGAGAGCTTACTGCAAGCTGTCGTCGCCCTGTAATATCCAGCGGTGTGAGACAAGGATGCTCGCTGTCACCTTTCCTCTTTAACTTCTCTATTGACGAAGTCATGGAGATCGCATTCACAGGACATGACTTAGAAGGTGTGGATCTGCTCCCAGGAGAACGGCTTCTTGACTTGGAGTATGCAGACGATATTGCCCTTATCTGTGACAGTTCCCCGACGTGCCAAGCCGCGCTGGACAGATTAGCACTGGCTGTCAGCCGCTTCGGGCTTTGCTTTACACCATCGGAGTGCAAAGCGTTCCTCCAAGATTGGCCTTGAATGCCTCCGACGCTGACAGTTGGTGGGGATCAGATAGAAGTCATTCGAAAATTCAACTACTTGGGAAGTTGTATCAGCGCCCGTGGGATTGAAGATGAGATCACGAACCATATTGCAAAAGCTCGGGGCGCTTTTGCTAACCTTCGCCACTTATGGGGCCGGCGCGACATCACTCTCGCCCTGAAGGGTAGAGTGTACAATGCAGCGGTACGTTCGACCCTACTGTACGGTTGTGAAACCTGTCCCTTAAAGCAGCAGACATAGAGGCTGGTTAAGTTAAAACACCGATGGCTTCGTAATTTAGCTCACATCTGGTGGGAACACCGCATGAGCGACGAGCTTGTTCGACGCCTTGTTTACGGCACAAGGAAACGAAATGAACCGCTCAGCACCGTTATTTCACGCACTAGGCTCCGATGGGTCGGCCACATGTTACGCATGCCAGCCCACCGACTCCCGCGACGTGCGTTGTTTGCTCACCGGGGAGGTGGATGGAAGAAGAGGAGGGGTGGCCAAACGATGACTTGGTCGAGAGGAATGAAGGCCCTCACTTCGGAGCTGGCCTCGGTTGGAACGTCTTGGCTCCCTGGTTGGGGTCCGAAAGACGATGAACACGTTTGGCTGGATACACTTGTTGATATGGCTAGGATTCGACCTCAGTGGCGTTCCTGCTGTGAGTTTCTTTGTCCCACCCCATCCCTCCTAGCCTCCCCATCCAACCACGATCTCATTATTTAGCATTTATAATTTTGCATAGTAAATTATTTTTTTCTCCTGCATAGTAGCCGGCAGGTAGTTTACCGGAACTATGCCAATCTGTTACCGGTAGCTCAGCTGACTTGCACCTGTTGCATTTTATTCCCTTTTTCTTTTAGGTATTGCGGCACGATAGCTGAGGTGTTTCCCACCTCTAGCTAATGTGTAAAGTGTGTGTTCATCCTACACCGGAAGTGCGATCTACAATGGTGTCGCGAATTAGTATTGGTGACGAGGTATTGCAAACTACCTCCCACTTCTGCTACCTTGGGAGCATGGTGTTGACTGACTAGCAGCTACACAGTGAGCTTCGTATCCTCGCCTCGAAGGCGGCGACGGCATTCGGGAAGCTAGAGTACGGAGTGCGGAACAACCATCGCTTTACCGTTGTTACGAAACTGATGCCGTACAAATCCATGGTGCTGTCCGTTCTTCTATACTGCAGCGAAACGTGGACGATGTATCGGCAGTATATGCGATATCTCGAGCGGTTCTATCAACAGTGTTTGCGACGGATTATGCGCATTGATTGGTGCGACTGAGTTGCAGATGTGAAAGTGCTGCGCCGAAGTGGAATGTATGCAGTGGACTGCATACTTTTGCTGAGACACCTTAGGTGGCTTGATCATGTGTGGCGTATGGATTCGACGCAGATACCGAAACTGCTGCTTTATGGTTAACTGAGTGCAGCGAAGCGGCACGTGGGAAAGCCGATGTTACGTTACTAGAATATGGTCAAAGTTAGCCTCTCACCTTATGTGGATTACAGTTGTTGGGAATCGAAGGCGGTTGGTTGGCGTGCATGGTGCGATGTGATCACGAAGACCGTTGTCGAGGTGCAGCAGAACTCCCTCTTGCATGCGAGAAAGAAGCTGCAGTTGCGAAAGCGACAGGCGCCGATGGGTTGTACTCCATCGACATCGGGCACGTGTTTCTGTAGCACATGCGGTCGCGAGTGCCTGAGTCAGGCAGGCCTATTGAGCCATGAGCGAGGCCACTCGAGGTCAACACCGGATCGCCTACGGGTCCTGCTGAGAACGTAAGCGGAATCGGTACGGCGTTTGTAGGTACGCTGCATTCGATTTACTATTCGCGTGCTTGCGTGCTGAGTTTCTTTATTTCTGGTAGTAGGTTTGCTATCTTGTCGTAATGCATATTTTCTTGCTTCCTTTTAATGTTTGCCTAAATAATAATTTTATCTTGGAGATGTCGCTTGTACGAAACGTGCTTATGTTCGTTTGTTTTCTCCATTCTGCTAATGTTCTTTGTTCTGTTTATGTGCCGTCTTCAATTTGTCGCGGCGATGTTAATCCATTTATATCATATGCTAATTTAGCGGCATATCCGTATGGTGTTTTTTGACCTTTTTATTATTTATCTCATTTCATGTGATTGCCTGTTGCTTGACACCCCCGGTGTGGTTGCGCTTGATGTGCTTCTTGACAAGGTGCCTACCTGTCTATTAACCACCACCTGTCTTACTGGCTCCAGGAAACAGTTGGTCTTTGGTGGAGTGAACGGGACACAGTCATTGTGGACATGTTAGGCTCGGAGATTGGTTCCATGCACTCAGTTTGGAGTGGACTACGATCAAGCCACCATCTTGTGTGCACTTGATCCCCCAAATACAGTGTGCTTGTGCATACCTGTGAAGGAGTGTGGACCGACTCCGTTGATGAAGCCGCCCATGGCCCCTCTGCTGGCACAAGTGTCATGTGATTGGCCACCTTGACAGGCAAATCCGAAACCGGATGCAGCCAACAACATATATATATATATATATATATATATATATATATATATATATATATCATTTACGGGGACAAAGATTAGCTAGGGCACAAATCTTAGGATCGTGCATCGGAATTTTAGGCTACCATAGAAGTAAGGGTGTTACAATTTGTTTTTGTGCTCACAACTCCGATTTGCGGTGACTGATATGGATATGTTCCGCAATAAATAGATGTTTCTAGAATCCACGCGTGATACGCTCAGTAGTGGAGTAGATGACCCTGAAGTTGTTTTCCGTTCCTGCGTGACCGCACTCTAAGAGGTGTGACATGATGAAGCTATTAGAGAACCGCTTTATCTCTAAAACCACTTCCGAAATAAGAAAGAACGCCACCGGCAGTTCGCCGGTGCGCCCTACCGATGCTTCGCTGCCGCGCAACCACTACCGGTCACGTGTGGGTTAAGGATACTGCGATTCGTCCGGTCCCCTACGCAGGCTAGAACCCGCGCCTTGGGATTACAAGGTGTATATGTGATCATTAAGTCCGCGGGCCGGCCATCATATATGATAAATCGCGCGCTGTTGCTCTGTGAAAATTGGTAATCGTGGCTCAAATTGTATTTGTTTCTCTATGCTTACGCGTTGGGGATATATTCCGCAACCGAAGATAGCTAAAACCGCACGTCCTGAGAGGCCACTTCCTCCTCACTTATAAGTTAAATTCTGCACTTACGATCTCCATTCGAGAACCTAAATGGGAGAGCTGAATGGAGTGACTGCTCGTCTCCTAAGCGAACAATGCATGTACTTGGGTGAACTGGCCACAGTGTGGCATCCATTTACGTGGGCTCAAAAGCTGTTCCAGTGTTTCAACTACTGTTGCCACTCACCCCTTCCATCTGGAACTATTTAGGTGCGTTTTCAGGGGGCGCATAAATTTTTAACCAGACTGAGTAAACATTGAAATGTGCCTCGTATGCTAAGCTTGGTTCAGCTCATTCGCAGCTCTGTTAGAATGGGAAACATGGAAGAATGCCAGTAACGAAGCTGTGTAAGCAGGCGATGCTCCGTAGCTGTTCGCTCTATGAAATGAGTTATGCTCTAGCACTTCGGATGTAACTGTTTAACTCAAAAGTACTGCGACTGGACCCTGCTACAGAATAGTTAGGTATTCGAAGAGCCATTATATATTTCACAATGGAAAACGCAGTGAACTAGATATATTATAATTCATCCATTTAACTATGGCCTACCACCACTTGGCTCCCAACAGTTTCAACCCGTCATGCAAACATCTGATTGATTGTTTCAGTCCAATTAACGCTTCGAACACTGTGTTAGAATGACTCGCTTCTTCAACAGTTGCTTGACCTTTCCTTTTCTTCTTTGCCCACCTGTGATTGTCTTACAGATCATGTCCACTTTAATCGAATCCGCCAGCAATATACTGGAGCAAATTGATGATGCATGCCAGCAATTGGGTGACCGCGGCATCGCTCTCCCTTCTTTTCTACGCCAGTCACGAAGTCGTCGCAATTCCCCTTCATCCCTACCCGAAACGTCGAAAGCCGCATTTTACTTCAGTTCTCTAGAGCGTATTTGCTTGTTTCTCGCCCCCTCTCTGGCAGGAATACTACGAGGAATGGCAAGCGGAAGATGTAAATTTCCTTTTTCTAAGTTCAAACGTAAAGCCTTGCCCTGCGTGGTATCCGGACTATATCCACCACCTGAACTTCATCAGAAACCCCCTCCCCATGAACATAACTGTTCATATCAACACTTGGATGATCGCCGAACTCTTCCAGACTTCATTTCTCAAGTGTTCCCTAATTTTCGTTCGATCGTTCCCCATTCGCTTACTCCATCATTGTCTCTAATCCCTCAAGAAGACCCCGGTGACTCAATTTATGGTGAGCATTGCGTTCAACCGAATACTTTATGCACTCCCCAAAGGCATATTTCGTATACAGTGATCGCGCAGATTTCTTCAATCTCCTACTCGTTAATGTGTAGCTATGACATTTTTCGCCTGCTCATGCTTATCTGCTTCTTCAGGGTGTAGTGTTAGGTATGTACCTGTGAGCATTCTGTCCATTTCGTATCTTTGCACGTTTTTTTCCATCCATTACCTCAGTCATCGGTTATTGAGCACCTTCGTTGGTTTATCTTCGTCAACTTTTGTGGTTACAACCTTGTGGTTATATTGTTATGTTTCGCGCTAAATGGCTCGTTTTGTTTTTCCAAAAATATGCTTTTTATCCTTTCTACCCCTTACTTTGCTTACACCTTTAAAATCAGCTTCCTGCGCTAGTTCGCCGCCGTTTGAAATGGCAAAATCATCGACTCCTTCAAATGTTACGATTGATTGGTCTGTTTGGAACAGTGCCTGGCTAGACCCAGCTGGAAGTGAATATCTTTTCAATCAAATTGCCTCAGTGTATGCGAGCCGATTGCCTCATCGCGCCGTGATTAGTGATGACTACTTGAGCAGCTGTCTCACGGCGTCACAATTGGGTTCATTGAGCCAATCAGCAGATGTTTGTGAGGCATCTTCCTTGTCATTCAATGGCAGCCAGGTTAAGGCACTTCTAAAGTTGGTATGTTTATTTTTCGTTAAAATTTAGTGCTACTGCATCCGCATCCGTCAATGTTCTTTGAAATAAGCCAATCTACTGCACCCTGTCATTGTGTTTTGACAATTTCTTTAAATTTCGTGTGTTTTGTTTCGTTTAGTACTCACCAGCTGCTGTAGTACATTGGTGCAAATTTTCAAAGTTGCGACTAAGCGAATGAGACGCGAGCTAACATTTTAAAGTTAAGTCACTGAACTGCAAAGGGATTCATTGAAGGTGTCGATGGGATGTCCGATTACCCACTACAGTTCATCTCTTAGCTATCTAGACACCAGAGGATCTCTTGGGTGGTGTCTTTGTGCAATATAAACAGGAATGGTGAATAAGTCAATGTACATCCCATAGAATGTTACTCGAACGAGCACTCAGTGACATTTACGTAGTGTGCATTTGCCTTGTTAACTGTGCGGGGTTGTGCTTACAAGAAACCGAAACAGATGGGGCAGTTACAATCCATCACTTCATTTCATCCTTCCTGGTTACATGACTCATCCTGTGTGGCATTTTTGGTATGGGCAGCATGGATTCATGGAGACCTCATAAATCTCCGATTGTCGCGAATTGTGTGTGCTTTAAAGCTTATGTATATATAACACAGTCCCATGTAATTTGTATGCTTTTCTTCTCTATCGATGTTGCATCACACATCTGTCGCATCGCACATCTGTCACTACCACTGTCCGCTACTATTGGTAGAGTGGTCAACTGTCCCTACACTTCTCGTTATCAAGGACCAATAGGTAAACGATGCTTCTGCAATAGCATTGCAATTTAATGATACGAAATACACACAATAGGATGGGATCATTCCAAAGAGTTAGTCAAGGACTGACTGCACCACTCGACTGACAAACAGCGCACGACGGCCTATTCCCTTACTTCTTGTCTAGTCTATTTTCACTCGATCGGAGCCTCCGTAATTAGTCTACACAGGGAACCACCGTTACGAGGTCTGCAGTACGATTACATAGTGGTGTAACAGTAAGACAATCCGGAAGACCGCTAATTGTTGTCAAAAATGCGTCCGCCATCTCACCGTAGATCCTGGTAAGAACTGAGCTATTCGCATACCTGGCCCATAAAATATACGAATATTTTATGGATACTCCTTTCCTGGCAAGTATCACAATCGAAACGGAGCTATCCAGTTAACCAATCCCACCATTCAAACCGAAGATTACGGTCGTATTCGACCTGGGGTACGTGTGGCGCTGTTACTGCGCGTGCCGTAGGTTGGAACTGTGATTCTTATGACTCTAGTTAGATTGAAAACCTTTCGACAATAAGCTGATGGTTTGGAACGGCTTCACACAGTTTAGTTAAAGCAAGCGCTACCACTCTACCACGTGAATATCTCTACATTGCTCTATTCGCCCCACTTTAATGGAGTCGTATTTTTCTCCCATTTGGTTTGTATGAGTGGGCCATTTACGTGCGCGAGCCCTCAACACCATTCTTAATTTACGAGGGTACGAGAGGATCGTATTTACCAGCGCGGAATATGTAGAGAATTGCAACCGTATTTCAATCATCACCTTCAAATGGAGTCTCTAACTTGTTGGTCACTTGCACCACTGAAGCACGAGGTGGCCCAGGTACCTGGGTCGACTGAACTGCTTTTGGAGGCATTCTTCCAAGCGAGCCAGCCGGCCTCCTTTGTTACAAATGAGAATAGTCTTTCCAACTCTCGTCATTTGCTATTTGTCTACCTTCGGAACCTTCTGCACCCCGTTGGTTCTAGTTATATCTACTACCTTGGAAACTACGCTATATCTGCAACTGCGCATTAATAACCGACTTTTCAGATCAGGTTGCCCTCGCTACTTGGAATTTTTTTGTGATGTCAAAATCGGTCTCACTTCCTTCTTACCCGTTAATCCTTTGCGCACTTTATGTTTGTGTTATTTATACTTAACTTCATTTTACAACTAAGTTCAGAGCACTGGAACTTTGTTTAAGGTAACTTCTTCTTATTAGTCCAATCAGCTGATGAACGAACGTTTCTTGAGACGCCTGGATTCGTTGGCTGAGGAGTACTGGCCAGTAAGTTGTATGTATGCAAGTTGACGCATCTATCAATACTTTCCATATGAACCCCTAGTCTGTTACTTTACCAACGCCTATTGGCTACGAAACAATAACCACCACCTATCTTAGACGACGCTTTCAATCAACATTATTTGGTCTCTTCTTCTTACTGCTTTTCATCACAACGTCTTTCGGCAATCATTGTTTCGCATTTTTCATGTTCTTCCCACCACGACTGCCTAGTGCTAAGGTCATTACGTTCATGCGTTAAAGGGCACTTATCCCTCGTTATATATATATATATATATATCTGCAACGGTCTACTAATGGACACGAAGCTATCAAAATACCATGGAACTCAAGGGAAGGCACAAATATCGTAAAAAATATCACAATACGGAGGTGTCCATGGTTTTTTCTGAGGGTAAGATACTACCCGGTTGCCCGAGCCGAGGTTAGTTGTTGACTTAGGGGACACCACCCCTGGTCTTTGGCCGGATAGCCTACCCACAAGGCCGCGGAGCGGATTCAGGGAACCGCGCCCATTAAGAGCCGGTGACTGATTGTTCAGTTCATAGGCCTTTAGGTTTTTCGTTTGCCAAACAGGGGCCCAATGCTCACCACAATTTCATCATTAAGTTGTTGGAATACAGTGCTTCGCCAGTATGCAGCAATGGACAGTAACTGTATTCATTGCGGAGTCACATCTGTCACGTCACAGTGTTATTAAACGGATATGTGTGTCCAGGCGAAAACCCACCACGTACTGGAACACTGTCGCTAAACCATTTGCTGGAAGGGGATAATACCGAACCACCCAGATGGCACAACGAGAAGGTTGTTCGGCAAGCTAGCGCTTTAGCTTGCAGCCGGTACATTATTGATACTCACCATTGTTTTCTCATCTGCTTTTGTTAACCGCATTCGTTTTCGGGATGCATTAAACAGATTACTGTGGTTTTTCGTGCGGCCATTCCTTATCGTTGGCGAAATCCTTTGCCACATTTGCCTCACTGCGATTGCGAACAGCCACAGGATGCATGCGCCTACTGAGTGACCATGAATGGCTTGCGCTGCACCACCCACCGCTCCCATGTCCGGCGTAAACCCGAAGGAATAAGGCCGGGAGGCATGTGGATAGAAGCCACGTTACAACGGAGTCGGCGCACACTCCTTCAACATGCATAGCAGTAGCACTCCAGTCAGTCTACTTTGGAAATCATACGTACACGGCGGGTGTTAGGCGGTAGTCCATTCCACACAGGGTGGAACCATTCTTTGAGCCTTGTCACCGTCACGAGGACCGTGCACATTGTCTCCTCCAGCTAATACCAACCGTCTCCGGGAACCCGTAAAATCGACGTAGCGGACTTTCAGCAGATAGGCACGTTGTCACCATTCACATCAAACGCAGTCAAACGGGAGATACCAGTCAACAGCCAACACCTGAGATGCAAAAAACCCACCACTCATACACACGTATAGACCAACTACAGCGATGATGTTGCACGCGTGCCATATCGGCTGCATTATTGGCCTGGGTTAGTAAATGGGATGCAATTGGAAGCAGCATACTTACCAAGCGATGGGCTGCCGATGATTACTTGTTCAACTGACTCATCTCTTCGATGTTGCACCCGCGTGGTTACGCTGGTGACTTACCAAGCTGGCTTGCCTTAGGCACTCGCGACCACATGTGCTACAGCACCATATGTTCAACGTCGACAGACTATTATTCATTAGCTCCTCTCATTTCTGTAGCCAGCGTTTCTTTGCATGCAGCAGTGATTTCTCACACACTTGGGCAATCGCCCTTTTGATAAATTCACGCAATTGTGCACTAATCAAATGCCGTTGATTTCCAACATTTAAAATCAAAATTATTTCATGATAAACTGAACTTGTCTATGTTGTGCTCAGTTCAGTTCACTCGAACAGCTACCATCCGAGCACCGAAATGCGATGGATCCAGTTTCCACGACTCCCATCACAAGGATACCAATTGATAACAGTAGCAAGCTAGTGGGTTTAAGGGCAAATAGAATGTAATGAAAATGAAGGCAAGAAGGAGATGCGTTAAACTATTTAATATGGAACGAAAATTAACAGTCAGATGCAAAATGTCGAGTGCTAGAACGTCACTGAGTGCGTAACTGCTCTATGTCTGATACGGTCTCCAGCCATTGATGTGGACCATCCTGAGGCCCTTCATCCAAGCCTGACCAAGTCGTTCAGTCAATTTCTTCATGCCTCTATATCACCTCATGGACTGGCCATCTCTCGGTTTCGCCCAGCTTGGTCCAACCACGGCGAGCAATGCTCGCTGAGGAAGCTGGTCAACGTGTATACGCAGGATATGGCCTAGCCAACGTAAGCGATTAAGATTCAGCAAACCATCGAGTAAGGCACCAGAGAGTTTGTTGCCATAAACCAATTACTAGACCTCTAAACGTTGCTCACCTAGTGTTCCCACCAGATATGATCGATACTTCGCAAGCACCGGTGGTCAAAAACTGCCAAGCTTTTAATGTGTTCATTGCGAACTAACCAGGTCTATAATTCATACAGTAACACCGGCCTTACCGCAGCGTTATACACCCTACTTTTCACTGATAGGCTCATATCCCGCCGTGTTCATAGATAATTGAGTCTCTGGAAAGCCACACGAGCCTTACTGATACGCGAAGTATCTTAGTGACGTAACCACTAGAGATGACACAGCTATCAACGTAAGTGAACCAATGCACTGTGTTGTGTTCGGTTTTCTTGTTACTACAACTGTACCGCTCTTTGATTTCCGTGATAAGGTCTGTGCCGAGGAGCGACCGGCTGTTCCTACTGGCTGCTCTCAACGAGCACGTCGGGCGGGATACCGCAGTGTGGACGGACGTAATCTGTCCGTACGGTATTGGCATAGCCAGCGGGAACGGTGACCGGCTGCTCTCAGTATGTGCCACTCACGGCCAGACGATCACGAACACACAGTTTGCACCGTGTGCGAGTGATATAGCTACTTGGATGCACTCACAAAGTGGTCACGGTTACCTGCTCGACTATGTCATTGTACGCCAGCATGAAATACGTGAAGGGCGCATGACAGGTGTACCGCGGGGAGCTGAGTGTTTAACTGATCACAACTTGGTGCGGACCAAATTGTACATTTATCTTTGTAACTCTGTTTCTTGCTCACTTGCTGTGCATGGGCGCAAATTTAGATACTATCGAGAAGAGAATGAAGTTGGAGAAGTCGTTGGCTGCCCACCTTGGCGATGTCGAACCCATAGCCTCAGTTAGCGACCTGTGGCACCACGTTCGTGAGCAGGTAACGGCTGCTGCCGAGCAAACGATCGGGCGCACGAATTGTTAGCTGCCCGATTAGTTTGCTGACTACAGTGCGATCATTGACACATTAGTGTCAGTGAAGGATGCAGCATTCGTCGTACATGTGGCGAACCCTGTCGATGCAGATCAGAATAGTCATTTTCGAAAACTTTAATGGTGATTGACTCGAGAGCTCTGCCGCATCAGGAATGCGTGGTGAACGGAGAATGTGAAACAACTGGAATCCTACACCTGACGATGCCAACAGGAGGAATTCTTTGACTCCTTAAAGGCGGTGTATGGAGCCACGTTGCAGCGGCTGAGAACGCTGTTCGATGCTACTTCAGGCGCTGCCTGCACACAGACTGCAGACATAATGCAGGTCTGACGAACGCACTTTGACTGTCTCTTGGACAACCGTTCAGAACTTGACTGACCTACGTTGTACGGGCTGCAACGGCACGGGATGATAGAGGTGTCTTGCGGACATATCGCCAGTGGATGAGACACAGGGAGCACTTGCTCATCTGCGAAATGGCAAATGTGCTGGCGCTGATGGGATACCGGCAGAAGTATTGAAACACGGCGGACGCGCTTTGATGCGTGTGCTGCACCAATTTATGCAGTGCGTGTGAATTGACGTGAGAGTGCCATCCGAGTTGAAAGATGTCCTTGTACTACTACTGTACATGGGAGAAGGGAGCAAGCACGAAATATCATGGTATCAACTAGCTGAGTTGTGCGGGGCTGATCACATGTATCTTGCTCAACCGCCTTGTCACTCATGTCGTTGAACCGAACGTGGTGGAAGAGCAAGGTGGATTCCGTTCGGGCCGCTGCACCATTTTTATGATCTTGGCGACTCGCCAGGAGAAAAGCCGAGAGCAACACCAGTCATTGTGTTTGTTGTTTGTTGACTTCACCAAGGCGTTTTACACGGTGACCTGCGAGGCATTGTGGCTGGTTGGGTAAGTTTGGTTGTCAATGTAAGTTTATACTTTTAACTGAATATCTGCACAGTGGTATGCGGGCGAGGGTGCAGCTGAGTGGACAAATTTCTGACGACTTTGGTGTTGTTTCTGGTCTGAAGTAAGCCTATGTTTTGGCCCCTGTCCTGTTTAATATTTATCTTCATGCCATGATGTCTTGTGCTCTTGATGCGGCTTGTGCTTACGGTGTTCGTGTGAAGCACCGTATTGATGTTGGGTTGCTGAACCTGCGTCCTTTCGGTGGGAGAATCCTAGTATGTGAGACAACTATCCGTATGTTGCTGTTCGCCGACGATTGTGCGTTGTTTGCACACAGCACGCATGAATTGCAGCACATGACTAGTGCTCTGGTTTCGACAGCGGCCAAATTCGGGCTCACCATCAACACAAACAAGGCTGTTTGTCTTTTTCAGCCTTCTCCAGTAATGGAATCCTTTTACCTGCTGCAAATACATCTTGGCAACGACGTTTTGGAATCCACAAAGGAGTCACTTTCTCTTGCTTTCACATTATACAGTCCTTGCTTTATCGGGTTCTGCGTGGCATTTAGAGCTAGTTACCTGACAGCATCTTTTCATTCATTCCAACTCCGGCTGCTCGTCCCGATAGACCTCGTAATTCATTGAGCACCAATGCTACGAAGTATCGAGTCAGCATTCATCTAAAGGTGCCAGCTAATGTTATGTTGACCACAAATCATCACCAGATGCTATACTCCAGCCTGCTTCGCTTTCCGGTGGACCCGGAGCAAATGGTTTCCAGTTCCCTGTATACAACATCAATTTTCTCACTGGTCCAGACATTGCACTTTTCCAACATTCGTCATCACTAGAGGACTCTCGGTCAGACTACGCGCCGATACTCCTCGGAGGTTACTAGCTCGCAATACACAGGAAAAGCCCTCCTACCGAAACCTTATCCCCTATCTCTCACGGAGTATGCCTCACACCAGATCCATTGAGTCAGTATCATCTTATTTGTTATCTTGCTTTTTGTGCGACCGGTTTCGTGACACGGGTAGCTATGGCTCAGACGAATGGTCCATCAAAGGAAATTTTGTTTGTCTGATGGGAGCGTACATCATCTGAAACCTAAACACTACCTGGACTATATATATGGTCTCGCATGCTGCCATTCTTACTATTCTCGTCCGCCTAGACAAAACGTCAAAATTATCGTTTACTATCTCCGCATTGCTCAATCCTCAGAGTTCGAATGACCACCGTCGTGTATTTTAACTAAAGTAAATAGTGGATGACAAGTTCTCCTGCTTTCTCTCGCCACCAAACCACCTTTTTCTTTACACTCCTTTTCAGTATCGACCAAAGAACGGCCGCTACCCCTACAGGTCATACGGACACTGCCTGCGTCTTTGTTGGTTGTTACTCATACGAGAGCTTGTGTACAACCCTGAGCGGGGTGAGTTTATTCTTGCGGCGGGCACTTGTAAAATGCCTCATGTAGCCAGATGAACTACTCACTCCGAATGTTTTTTATATGTTACATTGTGATAGCTTCCCTTTCTTTGCGGCGCTTTTTCATGCTTCTACCTAACATCTCTAATATCCGTATATTCTCGATCACATTATATCCCCATAAAACTTGTTCGCAGATGCAATATAGTGACATTTTGTAGGCGATTCTATCCGATTGACGAGTACAGGATTTTGCTCTTTTTCATCTATCTGCTAGATTTTGGTGACAAAGTGTTGACCTCTATGCAGTCCCTTATGCTGGATGTCTATTCCAGCTGTATCAGTGAATTGTCTCGCCTGTCAACAGAAACATGTGGTCTAACCACCACTACGTTTGATAAGTCAACTAACAACGGTCGAAAAATGTCCACAGTTGCATCAGCCAGCGCTCTTTCCACCTCGCTCAAGGTGTCTGGACGTCCACGCTTCAGTAATCCCACAGAGGACGACGATTCTGTCCCGTGCTCTGCCCTCAATGGGATGCCCGATTCTCATCCATTGCGAGCGGCATACGGCTCTGCGGAAGAAAACAATCAAAATAAAGTGGTAAGTTTGTCCCACCGCATTTCTATGAGTCCTTGTTCTTATAGTCTAAATGATTCCTCTGGTTGACTTTTAGTTTGGCCGTTTGCGAAAAGTTCGCCACCTGCATACTGCAGTTTTTGCGACACACCAGTACTTCATCGGGGCTCCGATGTTCTGCCTATGACCCTTTCTCTCACTGCGTTAGACCATCATGTATTTTAAGACACAAAGCATATGGTATAGCCTAGACCAATGATTTATCTTGGTCTTATGGTACGTGTCTCTTTCAGATTTTTCCCGGGAAAAAGTCGATGAACCCGACACGTGTTTATTCCACTAGCCGTGAGCGAGCTTCCACTCATCCACCGGATACTTCCACCACTTTCGATAGCTGCCCAAGCAGCACTGCCAGCGGTCGAAGACAAGCTAACGCACCGGCTCTCTTCGCTTTCGATTTCGTCGCCGCTTCAACGGCCACTTGTATTCAAATTCTCACCCAGGTGGTAACCGATATGGGAGGTAGGTCCAGCATTTCTCGGTTATCCACCTTCCGCGACCGTTTATTTGGTCATCGCTTCCACTGTACGAATAGCTCTGTGGAAAATGCCCCTACATAGGAACACTACTGTCATTAAAACTTCCTCTATACGTCACTATTCTCTTTCCACCTCTTTCCCTCCCGTACAACTTTCGTTCCCTTGTATTAACCAGGCAAGTTAGTGGAACGAGCATCCGACACTACTAGCTCTCGTATCTTACATTCCGTAGGTTAGCTTCACCAGCATGAAGCTTCGATACAGAGCCTGGCCGATACCTACTCTGCTCGCCCCCAGAGTAGACTGGGAACGTTCCCTTGGCGTTTTCCTCCATGTTAATAGACAAATTCTGCCATCATTTCAATGTACCCACCCTAATTCGGGCTGGTCAACCATCCGTGCTGGCTCTTCTTCTGTGCTGTCTTTAAGTTGTCGTGTTCCATGCCTTTAAAGCGCGCGTAAGTAGCTGGATCGGAACGCATGTTAAAACGCTTTGCTCTCATTTTGCTGATGCTTTTCCCATCTCTAATGGAGCGGTTGTACTCAGTTGAAATGACGCAGGCAGTCTGTTCGAATGCACTCTTGTGTATGTAGTCGGTTAAACTGCAATCAGTTAATGTGCAGCGACTGATAATACTGTTCGTGCCTTTCTACTATTTTATCGTGTTCTCAAATTCACCTTAACATTTCGATCCAAGTGGCCCTTGTACGCAGTTGCTCGACGCTCTCTTGTGCTAAACAGCTACTGTAACGAAAGTGCGATTGATCCGCCTCAGGTCGATCGAACGCTGTTGTAGTCAACACTACAAATGTTAATGAGATACGACATTCACTGCCGTTTTCGGAGCAATGCAATGAGCCTGGTGTTGCGACTCCATCTCTGTCGAGTAGCCTTCTCAGAAACAACAAGCCTGGCTATCGATTGAAATCTGTTATTCGTAACGCGTTGGTCGTCGTACTAATGATGATCTGGGATACCATTCATTTGCGACGGTTTCTCATCGAAAATTTCCTATTGTTGTGCCGTATGTTCACTGGCCCGCAAGTGCTGTTCATCCGTTGTGCACGATCCAAACAACCCCTGTTCCGTTTGAGATCACGTTGAGCTCGATCCATGGTTTGCCGCTCCAGTTTCCCGCTGTTTATCTGACCCACGCATTTATACTCAACTCATATGGGCAACACTTGGTTCGCCTTCTTTTCGTTTGTTACCTGACACCTTCGTGTGCTTCATAGACCGACCGCCATTATCTCCAGCGCTGTTAGCATGGACTCAACAGCACAGACGTACTTTTCGCCAGTTGTTATTCGGACTAGTCTGCTTCGTGCTTCTCCGTGAGAAAGCTGCACTTCGTTCACTCTAGACTGGGCCAATTCTACTTTGTCTTTTTGATTCGTGTAATGGTGGTCAGTTGGCATCGGCGATGATTGGTTGGCCCCTTGTCGGCCTACGCCGTGTCGGTCACGTTCAACCAAATGACCAACTACCGTAACGCTTCCCATCGCTAATACCTAATGCACAACTCACTGGTCGTTTCTCTGCAAGCCTTATCTGGCATCAGTGGATTTCAGGCTGGTTTACGTCCAGGTAAGGGAAGTATTTGCTTGCATAGCATAGCCCATACTGATATACCATATTCATCTTCCTCGACTGATAATCTACATCGGAATCGAGTGAGCACACTTCGAGGAAAGACACCGTTTTAAATTCTTCCCACTACTATCCCCTTAGTCTCACGAGTTCTCTCGATAAACGCCCGGAATTTTATCAAATTGATAGTCAATTCTAACGTCCTAATCACCTCATATGTTGTGGAGATTCTGCTAATCGGACAATTGGTGTAGTTCCCATCACTGTTTCAGCTCACCGCACTGTACGCTTCAATGTGGGCTCAGCATTTTCAGTGAAATCCATCACTATGTTCCTAAACTGGCTTACCACCGGTTCTTTGGCTTAACGAAAGTCCCCGCGCGTGAGTTTGCATGGCTGTTCAGACCCTTGTAAGAAATACGGGATATGAGTCTATCAGCAACACAACCAGCGCTGCAGTATACACTAAAGACCTGACCGCTTTACGGCGAGCAATATGTGCATATTAAGCCTTGTTTTATTTTGCGACGGTACGCAATTCTACTGTCCACCAGTTAGTCTTTAGTAGACGATTCTCTCGTCTCATTATACTGCATGCTAGATTTGCTACACATTCTATTTGTGTGAGATGTTTCGCTTTTCTATTTGCCACTTGTCTTTTTATAGCATCTTCCTCTTGTTCATACGGGGGATTGTTTGTCTAACGATCCACGATAGCGTTACCGACGAAGCCAGCGCGTCATCGATTGCCTTGAGCGATAATCATTTTAACAACGCCTCAACGTTCCTCCTCCTCCTCCTCACATGTGTCAGAACCAAGGGGCCACACAATGCCTCGTTTCTAAACACACGCACTTTATTTGACGAAGCTCTTAAGTGATGGGCGGATAGCGAAATATGCAACGGCGATAAGGCCGCTTGTGATCGGAATCACCCTGACATGTACTACTACTGTGTTGAAAAAATATCCTAACTTTTGAAAAAGTGCGCCAACTGGCAGAGGGATCGCGCTGTGGCTGCTGAGCGCACGGAGAGATTTGTTTGGACAACAAACTATCATTTGCCGCGTCTTATACTGACCGTTAGTTAGCGAGCCACAGCCACTAAACTGAGCACGTGCACAAGTAACTCGTTGGGTTAGTGTCTAAGTGACAACGAAAGAGCATGAAGAACCTAGTGTGTGTGTGTGTGTGTGTGTGTGTGGCAAAACTTGTACAGACGTTTCAATTGCTTAGCCAAGCATACGGTGTGGACTATGAGTCGCATGCAGCTCTATATGTGGTTTAACTGTTTTGAACACGGAAGAATGTCGGCCGGCGACGATCCCAAGCCTTAACAACCTTTCACCTCAACCGACGATGATCATGTCGAGAGGGTTCTGGCTGTGATCCGTGGAAATCGTCGTTTAACCGTCCGAGAAATCGTTGACGAAGTGCATATCAACGTAGGATCATGCCATCAAATTTTGAATAAGAAACTTGAGATGCGTCGTGACAGTGCAAAATTCCTGCCTCTTTTGTTGACTGGCGATCAGTAACGGAACCGTGTTAAAGTCAGCCAGAAACTGCTTGCCACTACCAATGACCATGAAAACCTCTTTAAGAACATCATAAAAGACGATGGGAGGTAGGTTTGTGGCTTCTATCTTACAACGAAGGTGCAGTCGTCGCAGTGGATGGGGAAGAGTGTCCTCGTTTAAAAAGCACGCATGAGTCAGTCAAAAATCAAGATGATGTGTTTTTTGACTGCAAAACCATTGCTCATCAAGAATTTGTACCACGTGGTCAGATGGTAAACAAGGAAATCTATCAGAGAATTCCAGCACGTTTGAGGGATGATGTGCACAGGAAAAGATCTGAACTGTGGGAAAACCAGACTTGGATGTTGCATCATGACAATACGCCCGCTCACGCATCGTTCCTTGTCCGCAGCTATCTAGCAAAACATCACACTCCCGTTGTGCCCCATCCGCCGTATTCTCCGGACCTCGCCTTAGCAAACTTTTTCCCGCTTTCCAAACTGAAAATCAGACCATAGAAGTGATTCAGAACAGAGACCTACACACCATCACATAAAGTGTTTCTGGAGGCTTTCCAAAAATGGAGGCGACATTGAGGATGATGTGTTGTTAATATAGGGTACTACTTTGATTGAGACAGTACTTAAAACGAGACTGGACCTTAACGTGGTGCTACGGTTTGCGTACCTCCTTGACCCATTGAGCTATAATGCGTGGTGCCTCCGGGCCCCTTGACAGCTACTCTTAGTTGGTTTAATGGTGAGATGTCAGACAAACTCAGTCTCTTGGTCCTCCAGGTTGGGGGTTTGAAATGGGATGACGTTCATTTCTGTAAAACTAAATAATTGCCACATCCCCATTGCCTTGCGGACAGGCTTTTGATTTAAAGGCTTTGGATGAGGACGCTAATCGTTCTCCTGTCTAGGTCTAGGCGCCCTGGCAGTATCTCAGCCCACATACAACCATGACTTTTCCTTAAACATAAACTTCATCTTGCATCGGCCGTCGCGTAGATTATCAAGGGTCGCCTTATCTGCTGCATATATCAGGGTGGATAAGCGAAAACCTGCTACTGCTGGCGCCTCCCTCCTTTCTTTTCCACTATTTTCTCTTACTCCCATCTCGACCCCCATTACCAACCTTCCTTATATAATTCCCAGCTTAATTGACAGCAACCGAAGTGCCACTGGAGTAGAACCATCTGCAGCCACCATCCCACCGCACCTATCGGACGCCTATCTGCAAAAGTCCCTTATAAGGCCACGCTATCCCGTTTCCATGGCGATAATCAACGTTCACACTCCAAGACAAACATGTCAACAGGCTACACTCGCACGCACCTTGGACACACTGGGTAATGAGGTGTTGTATGTCCGAAACTAAGATCAATGACTCTAATGGGGTTGTTGAATTAGCCGCACCCGGCTTATCCTCTCGTTATTAGTTGCATGCATCCGGAGACGTCGATGCAGCACTCGCGGGTCAAGCTGGTGTAGGTATCATTCTAAGCTCCAAGGCTGAGTCATCGTCGGTCGATTGAATTCCGGTGAACAGCAGTTTATGTGCATCCCGTTTAACGACATCAGCTAAGGTTGATTCGCGAAGTAGTACAAAACGCTGTTTGTTTATGATTCCCTCAGTTCAAATGCTGTCAAGGACACATTCTATCACGAACTGAACGCGCTACTACGCAATGCTACTAGTGCAGATACTATAGTACTTGCAGGGGATATGAACGCACAAGTAGGGCGTCTGAGCTCTTCAGAAGCTCAGCTGGGTGGTAATTGTGGGCTTAACTCCGAACGGACTGACAACGGTGGGCGTCTGCTGCAACTGTGTGCGCAGCACCAGTTGTTTCTTAGTAGCACTGCTT